GTCATCACTTAGGCGTCCGCACGCAAGGTGCAACTATTGGGCACACCACCAGTGATCGACAGATATGTAGCGAAAAAATCCTAGCGCACACCCCGGCTGTGAAATACAATCGGTCCAAGATGCAGTATGATTATGCAGTCACCGAAGGGACATTCGAATTTATGAACTTACCGGACGCCATTAAAATTACTATCAGAATAATTATCGTTTGACACCTGAGCCTGGGGCTAACGGAATTGTCGTCGCCGTTTCCAGAAAAAAATCGTAATGTGATGGACAAACTATTAGCGTTGATACTATTACGGATGACGCCCGACATTACAGAGCAAAAGGCTTTCGTAAACGTGCATCAGTTATCTCGAAATCAGTGATACGAGTATAAATTCAGCACGTTGTACGCGTCAGGGTAGTGAAGTGTCGGTACCTATCCCACGTGACACTCTATTGACACTTCCATAGAAATACGGCCACTTGTCAGTCTAAAATATTACGATCGAAAGTGACAAGATATTCGTTTCTATCTGTGTTTAAATAATTAAAGACGAATTCTTTTCTAGTAAATCCAAGGTGTTGTAAAATCACATTGATGCGTATAGCCTGAGTATTTGGTATGACTCATATAGCTGGGCTCTTTTTGAGACATTAGTAGATATAGGAAATTGTGCACTAGAAATGTAAGTTTTGAACTACAACCCAATTTTAAAATTCCATTATTTCTTCGATTTTTTACAACTTCTATTTAACAAAGGACCTTAGATCATAGCTACTAATGTGTTAGCATGATTCACATAGCTCCACCTATCCACAATGTGGCCATGTGAGCTATGAACCTTTAGTACTTATAGTAAGAGCACGTAGTAAAAATACAGGTACGCTCTGTGATGGAGTTTATTAAGGCTCTTACCAAGAGGTAACCCCGAACATGCTTACACAAGCTACCACTGTCTTAACTGACTTCGATTGTCGTATAATTATTCAATTAAGTAGAACTTGAAATATTTCATGTGAAGATTACATATTTTTCAGTTATAGTAGGGATTACATATAAATTGTTGTCTATATACTGACTATAAGATACATTATACAGACTACCATAGTTTATTTATTGAAGATATGATTTTGCCGGCATCCGTAAGCAAAAGGAAGGGAGCGGTTAGCGCTGTCCATAAAGTCTGCTGAGGTCCTGGAGAACACCTCTGGCTGTCTACTGAGAAGCCTGTTGACTAAACTGCTGAGGAAGCGACTTCTCAAGCAGAGTCCGGATCTTCTTCAGACAACGAACTAGTGGAGCCCTCTACATCGGATACTAAGCTCCGCGTTGCCACGGAATTTTATAGTATCGCCTAGAAATACGTCCCGAGACCTTACTTAACCTCTTGACCCCGCTGTTGGGGACAAACAAAATAATGATGAGGAATTTGTTGGAACTGATTTTCGGGACGTTATGGCTCTTCAAGTAGTAGACAAATAAACACGAATGCCACGCCATATTAAATCCAACGACTCGCCAGCTCGCTAAGCGTATCGTGATTGAGCCTGAATCTCTGCGTAGCTCAAGAAACCTCGCACTGCCATTGAAGGTAGTGACCCCTCACCTACTCTAGATCCTAGTCCAAGGGTTGCGCAATAAGAAAGCCATACAGTGCTCTATCGTCGAGTTTGCCGTCTGTATCACGGTTCTTGTATGCGATGTGACACCCGAATATTCTGAACATATCTATCGGGAATGCGTATCCTGTAAATTTTTGTATGGGGATGAGCTCATCTCTTCGGTGGGTATAGTATTGTATATGTTGGTAGTTTAAATCAGTGTTTCGGCAACATGGTAGTCGGCAGACGTGCATACTTCAGTTGTGCAAGCAGTACAGAAAACCAGTGAACCATGCAGTGTCTCCACCTTGATATGATATTGGGGCGTGACCATAGGCACGTACCTTAAGCAATATCCCAAATATGCAAGCATGCGCCTAGTTACGTCTGCTGTAAACTGTGAGCCTCGAACGATTTGCACTGAACTCGGCGACGAGATAAAAAATAGCATTCATCGAATGCAGCTATTAATATAGCGTCAAGAATTGTAGTTGCTTTCAGAACGCGGATCGGTTATGTCGACAAAGACCAACTCGAGAGACTCTGTGGCAGGTTCGTGCTGTCATTATTTGGTAGTATTCTTGTTCTTCTACTTTGCAGTAGTACATGCTTTTCATTGTTCCTCTGGTTGCTTTATGCAGGGTAAATCTTTTGGGATGTAGCTGAGGTGCCATGAAATTTGGTTGGCTTTATCGATGGATCCACTGTAGTCTTAGCTGTGTCGTCGACGTGTACGCAATATATTCTGTACTTTTCATGCACTGTCATGGTTTCAAAGCTCAGTAATAATATGTACATCATGTTGTTGGTATAATCTAATAAGTAGTGTGTCGCGCTGAGAGCAGGCTGATACTTAGCAGTGCAGTTTTGAATGTCATATCAATGAGTACGTCCCCCAGATCTACTAGCTGAACCACATACTTAGAATATATGATTGTACTATCAGCTACTTCAAGCGCACACCGGTCATTAATGCACATGTTGCGGACGAGATGATGCTCGTGGTACGTATAGGGGATTAAGCGTATTGAGGCGCATCTATCACAAGCTAGTCAGTATCCACCTCTAGAATCCATGTCTGACTGATCGTTCACATCCTTGTTGTCGATTGTAGGATTAATTATGGAGAATGCAAACTGTCTGTCAGCAAGTAGCTGGTCATCGGGCACTTGTGCTGACATTGCTTTGCCATGTCTGCCTTCATGTGCTTGGCGTCGATTGCTCTGGGATCGGTATGTTCTGTCACTGTTTTGTAGACGTCGGGTATCTCATAAATATCTGCCATCGTCGTAGTCGCGCCGATTGTGTCTATCTACTCGGTAGTCCTGTCGGTTGTGATCATCCCGATTATCGTAGCGGTATTGGAAGCGGTTGTTTTTGTTGTATCGTTCATCACGTGTACGGTAGAAACGATCTGAATCAAGTCGTCCATGCTTTCATTATTCATGGAAATATATATCTGTAGCCTCTCATGTCGTGACGAAATGCAGACTTGATCAGTCGATCGTAAGGTTTGCGACCGTCATGGTCCCGACCCTGATTACGTGGTTTACCGACAGCTCATGATTTAATTAATACCTGTAGCAAATGTACAATTTCCTGTTGATATAGATGCATGTGCACCGTGCACAATGACAGTTGGGTCACTTTCGTCTGGATCTAATACGATGGGATATGTGGTGAGCTCATTATACAACATGGTCATCATAGCGGATGTTTTCAACGTAATCTTGCGTGAGGTGAAGTGCTTTTCCCTCCTCATGTATTGTGACGTATGCTATGTTAACTTTTTGCCTCGTATCTTTTTTTGGGTTACATAGTTGATTTAATCGTGTGTCTTGTTGAGATCTGGTTCGATTCTTTGTACTATAGTTCAGTCTTCTGGAAACGTGGGGTTGTATTTCTTCGTTCTACTAGTTTCTCGAGTTATAGATGCATATTCTATAATGAAACGTAGTCGCGTACTCTGTATTGTCTACTTTTACTTAGTTGTGATCTTCTAAGATGAGCGCTTTGTTAACTTCTAACTTACGTTTAAGTATTGTTGCAGGCACTGTGAATTCCTACTAGTATTCTACTATAGTTTTTGTTCTCTGGATTCAGTCTTGTATAATATTCTTACTACCGCCTCTGTAGTTGAATGTTGGTTAGTATGGGTCTGTACAGAACTTCTTTCTTACTAGTACTTAGTTTATTTTAGTTTATAAAATAAAGAAGTGATCACTGTGACATTTCCTTGAATTTTCTAGTGTCCCAACTTTTGGTATTTTCACTATACGGAGAAGTTATCACTGTGACACTTTTGACCTTCTTGTTGTCCCAACATAGAAGATAATACTACTTTTGTGCACTGTTTCTTGTGCCTGTTCTGCTAGGGGTGCTTACCTTTGTTCACCCTAGTCTTACATTTGTGATAGTGTAGTATCTTTTGACGAGCTTGACTCTTGGACTGGGCTTGTTCTTTTCTTCGAAGCCTTGCTTGTTCGTCCCAACTTCTCGTTGCGTACTTCGTCCTTCACTCTTCTTGTTCTGAGTTTTGTTTGTCCCCTGCTCGTACTATTTCTATCTTTCTCGTTGTAGTATTATTTGTACTAACGGGTATGTAAAATAGAGCTGTGTCTCTGTAGATTGACTTACCGTGGTAAGAATATTGTTAAAAATGTAGAGTTTGAGAGTAGCTTGCAAGATACGATCAGAAGAAACATTAGACCTCTTCTCAAGTGCGAATCCTACAGCCAGCTAAAAGTCCTAGGCTGAGGGACTCGCATTGAGTCTTTATTTGTGTTTGTTGTTTTCTACACTAGAATCAATTATTACTTAAGTGTTGCTCTCACACGCGGGAGTCCCGGTATCATCTACCGGTATGCCCGCTATATTTCTGATCAATCTATCATCAGAAATATTGGATCCTTGATCCAAAACTCAGTATTTGATGATCCTGGGTTTTGGGTTTAGGATTGGCTTTTGTGGTAATCTGGCCCCTGGACACAACAAACGGTCAAATGCCTAATAATATATAAAAAGAATTGGATTAGCTGGCTGATACAATACTTCTTAATCAACTAAGGTTTATTAAGTTACTTTCTGCAGACGATACTTCAAGGTAGAAGTATTGTACTGCCGATACTAAAACTACGATGTTCCATCTAGCAGATTCGGCGGCCGTTTTCAGATGGCTCACACATGTTGACCATCCGTCGATTTCTGGACTATGGGCAGGGCCGTGCACATGCACCTGGACAAGAGGGCTGGTTCTGACCACCCTAATATTACAGTTCCGGGGAGACTCGTGATTGTAACGCATGGTGGCCCGAAAATTTGGAAAGGCGGCGGAGAACCGGCGGCCCCGATTTTTATTCCGAAATTACTCGGACGCGAAAACCAAAATTTTCAGGGAAACAAAGTCGTAATCATAGTCTCAGAAAAATAGAAGGGTCAGAACCGCACTCATGTGGTAGGAAGCGATCCAGTAGCAACGTCGAGTTGTGCTTGAGCTCCCAAGTCTGTAGGAGCTCATCGCGGTAGCTAACATCCGCGGGCGTCACCGATGGATACGTAACTTCAGCCGCGTGTTCCTGGAAGAACATCTCATCAGCGGGCGTAAAATCGCTGGATCGTGGGCGTTTGTGCTTTGTACACAGCCGCGTCCACTTGACACAGGCCTCATTAAAACCATACTTGAAACGGATGGCAGCCGCATAAGTGCAGAAAGCAAAGGTCAACGCTTGGCGTTGGTCGTCGGATATCGAAGGGACGTAGATTGAATCGTGCAACAAGAAATACGCATAAATCGAACTAGCCGTTGTGCCCCGAGAAACCATCTCATCGCGTTCGACTGGAGGTATATACGCCTTGATATTTTTGACGTGTATGCGGTTATCCTTATTAATTGCCATATATTTACATGTAAGATTTGGTCTATCAAGGCGTTATTAACGTCTTAGAGTAATTAAACGCTTAGGTTAAATCTAAATATAGTGAAATTCGAAATAAATAAACGAAATGAGTCTTTAGTAAAGCTAGGTATGCCTCGTGAAAACAGCAATACTCTGAGGGATTGTGAGGCTGAGACATTGCCTATATATAATCCTCTCAGTACTGTTTTCGCCGAAGGGATTTTATTTAGTGTTTCGTTGTCGCTCTATTAGAAACTATGGTATGTTTCGTTGGGGCGAATCCGAGAGACTCATAAAATCCTATCTTTAGAAGAAGAAAAAATAGTAAAAAGAAAAAGAAAATACTCTTGATGTCTTTTGTTATTATCTTAACCAATAACTTTCCACTTATCAAGAATTACCCACTTGCCATCATCAGACTGGCACATCTGGTTGGCTCATCGGAGGAACAACTAGGTATCGTTAATAGTCCCTAGAAGTCTATATTCGGTTGAGCCATCTCGCTACCGAAGTATTCAGATATAAATAAAGTTGGAAAGTAAATATAGTTCTATTAATAGAACCAGACCAACTCTTATGTTTGGTATTTTACTGGGGCCTTTTAATGGCCTCGTCCAAATATCTGATATATAGAATGGAAACGGTATTAATTAATAAAACCTTTAAAAACCATTTAGGAAACTTAAGTTCCTTGTACTATTAAGGGTATATTTTTAGTATACGTACTGCTTAAGAGTACGTTTATAACATTGAGTCTAATGTGGAGGCCCTGCTATTACAAGGGGTATCACGAATGTATCAACTGCGAAGTTAACCGGATCAAGCGCTACGGATACGCACCTTTACGCAGCGTATCAGAAGACGAGCCGTGGCTCCGGGTTACCATTGATTTGGTTGAGCTACCCACGTCCGAACACACGAAGGATAAATATGTCTGTCACGTGTTTGATGTCGCATCAAGATATAACGTATTGTATCCGCTGAAAGATAAATCGACACAAGCTGTGGCTGAGTGCATGTATAAGTGCTTCGCAGATTTCGGCTGGCCAGCTATTGTATGTTTAGTGAGTTTACAGGTGATGTCATGACGACACTGTTACTCGTTGCGGGATCATGCCATAAGATGGGTGTACCTTACAAGCCTCAGACACAAGGTGCGAACGAAGTACAACACAGAAAAATGAAGGAGTTCTTGCGAGCAGCACTACTTGATGATGCTGACATGTGGCCATACTCAATCAATTGGATACAGACACAGATGAACGAATCCCCTGATTCAGTCACTGGTACAACACCCGCTCACTATTTCCGGGGCTGTTATAGTGAATTACAGATCCCCTTCAACAAGGAGTCTCAAGATGATCATGTGTTACCATGGTCAGAGAAGATGCGTCGGACCAGAGATGTGGTCTATCCTTGTTTAAGGGAGATGAAGGACATCGCTCTCAAGAGGAGACAAAAGCGATGGAATGATACCAAGAAAGTAGTCGAGTTTGAAGTAGGCGATATAATCAACATTATGGCTCGCAACTCCGATACAACTGGGCTTACGGCTAAATATATTGGACCATTTATGATCTCTGTGGCCGATAAGAAGAACGGAACGTATGAAGTTAACAACGTTGACGGCTCTAGTGCCTTAAATTTCGGGTCACATCGAATCCCTACGACAGAGATCATCCTTCGTCACACACGTGAAGCTACTACACCTCTTATGTCTTACGAGTTCAAGAAGATTCTAGGGAAGTACAAACATGAGGATATGACATATTACACTACGGAGTTCGCCGATGGAGCACAGTATAATCTTCCACCATCAGCATTTGATGATCCAGATGTACTGAAGGCTTTTAATAAGAAGTTTCGCAAACGCTTACACAAAAATAAGGCTGATGCAGAAGCAATATTACTATCAAATAAGCGACCTGAAGTGGTTAAGATCCATCCACAGACATCATATATTCCCAGCTTTAAACAGCATGGAATGTACGTACCTCCCAAAGGCATTAAGAAACATCCCATTCACCATCGGGGACCACAAGGACCAAAGCCCAAACGTAATAGAGTAACCGAGTAACTTATAAAACGTCAAAGTATACTTTGTCTAAGAGAATATAACATAAGCATTGAGGCCGTTATATGATCGAAACCAGTTTCTTTTCTTTTCGCTTATACAATTCATGTGAGCTTTTTGAGTCTATGTGCTAATACCACATATAAGCCAACATTGGGATTTTCAAGCTGAGGGAGGGGGGCTATGTAAAAATAGCGGGTTCCTAATAGTAGTTGTACAATTAACGTATATTATTAACGTATTAGCGTATTAACGTTTTTACTTATAATACTGGAATACGTTTAACGAATTGGACATGAACAAGAATTGAGATATTAAAGATTCTGAACATGTGATAGTACTCAGTAGAGTATGGGACTCTACTGTGGACAATTAGGTGGTGTTCCAAATACAGATTGGTTTTTTTCCACTGGAATTAGAATTGTACATAATATGGGAACGACACCAATCTGACACCTGAAAATAACACTTTGGGAATATATAATTAATGAGAGTACCATGAGAGAGGGTCTCAGGCATGAAATGGTTGTTGGTACAAACCTATGGTATAATTCGATAATAATCTCAGAGCAAGATAATCCACTGAGAAATGGACAGGATCAGAGTTGTCAGAATTTAGGACAACATGGTTTTGATTCCTCCTAGCCAGCCAACTAGATGTGCCCGTCTATGCCTTAAATGGGATGAAGAGCTAGGTACCAAGTGATGGGGTTTAGGTGCAGATGTATACTGCTCCGACTTGGTGTTTTGATTTGATTTTTGATTTTCTTAAGGTGGACTTAGAGATATTATATTGGTTAGTTTGACTAGGTAATTGTTTCGAGGCGTGAAATGTAAACTATGCGTCCAATGAAATGATATTTAGTCTTAGGGATAATATTATTTATTTCAAAAATGGCAAGTATGTAGTAACTAAAACATAAATAAATCTAGGCCGAAGTAGTGAGTGATTAGAGCGGAGCATATAGACAATAGTCTCAGTCTAAAATCCCCTAATCTTTTGCTCACTACCAAGGGCTGAAGCTAAACTTATTTAACATTTTGCATTTTAACGTATTAACGTATTGTCTTATTAACGTAAACGTACTAATATCGTATAGTCAACCTAAAGGAGACCGACTTTTACACCAGGGTCAGGTGGCCTTTGCGAACCCCTTCCACAACAAGTGGGACCAGTCCCTACTTGGGGAAAAGTCACCAGGGTCAGGTGGCCATTGCGAACCCTTTCCACACCCCGGAGACAACGCTAGGCCTCATTCTGGAACAGCTCGATCGACGCATACAGCGAGTGGTCATCATCGTTTCAATATGGACCAAAGTTCTCTGGTGGTCTCTCATCGAACGGAACAGCCAGGACATGGAAATTCTGGAGGCTGGTGCCGTCCACTTCCCCGCACCGGTCGTCAAGAAACTAGGCATGGCGGTACATCCAACAAGACTCTATGTCGTAGTTCTTCACAGTCCCTTCAACAACGACTAAGCGCCAGGACCCCTTCATCTCGTATATGGGAGCTCCTTCATAATGGAGGAATTGCCTCCGGTACACAGCGCAACTACGCCTTTGCGCTGACTCACTGGCGAGCCTTTGCAGCCGCCAATAGCATCACCACTATGGTACCCACACCCGACCTGCTTAGAGCTTTTCTGTTCTACTGCTACCGTCAGGGGGTGTCCCTCGATCAGGTGAAGAAGATCCGTTCGGCAGCTAGTAATTATTATCGTTCCGACGGCCTTACCGAGATTCCTCCGTCGGCCTGGCGCCACGCTATCCAAGGTTTGTGAGACTTTGGAATGAGCGCTACGGTACACGCGATCCGGATCAGCCCAAGATCATCGCCCCTTGGATCCTCCAGCTCCTTCAAGCAGAGGATGTCGATGCACGTTGGCGCCACTTCTGGTCACCTACTGGCTAATCGGAGCACGTCGGGCAGCCAACAAGACTCTTGGTCCAAACTCTTTCATCTTTGAGCCCGTCAATCGCGTTCGGATTGTGAACCTCTACAAATCCAAAGTCATCGCCCGTCCTGTCGACCAGCTGACTTTCGACTTCTTTTACGCACACTTACTTGATGTAGTGGACACCCGTAGTGTCCCACTAAGCCCGGCCATGGTTCTCAATACCATGAACGACTCTGAGAGCATCACACTAGTGCGTAGAGAGTTTGTGCGTGCAGGATTGGCACGCACAGTCACAGATTAATACATCCAATGGCATGCCTTCCGCCGAGAGCTGGCCCAGAGTTTGTTCAGTCTGCGTATACCGGTCGACATCATCAGCTCTATCATGAGCATCGAGCAGGCTTCACTCACGCCATATCGCTCAGTAACGACTCCTAATGATGCCGACCGTCGTTTTAATTTACGTTTGAAAGGAAAACCTTCGGTGTAAACGGCGTGAACTTACAGTAGTGATAAAAACAAATATTATTATAGAAGGATACTCCTTCCAATAGTATTGTGGGACTGGAAGTAGTTCAGAGCAACAGTATAAAATATTTCGCGTTGTGGCGTCATAACTACTGTTATGACGCCACAGCACTAAATTTTATGCTGTTGTAAGATTCGGTCTAATAAAGGCGATACTAATGCCTTAGAATAAATAAGCGCGTAGGTATATTCTATATATCGTGTAAATATCGATATAAATAAACGAAATGAGCTTAATAAAGTTAGGTTTGCCTCGTGAAAACAGCAATACTCTGAGGGATTGTGAGGCTGAGACATTGCCTGTATATAATCCTCTCAGTACTATTTCCACCGAAGGGATTTTATTTAGTGTTTCGCTGTCGCTCTATTCTGAGGCGAGTCCGATAGACTCATAAAATCCTATCTTCAAAATAAATAAATAAATAAAAATACTCTTGACGTCTTTAGTTATTGTCTTAACCAATAACTTGCCACTATCAAGAATTACCGACTTAGCCTTCATCAGACTGGCATATCTGGTTGGCTTATCAGAGGATCAACTAGGTATCGTTAATAGTCCTTAAAAACCTATATTCGGTTGAGCCATCTCGCTACCGAAGTATTCAGATATAAATAAAATTGGAAAGTAAATAAAGCTCTATTAATAGAACTAGACCAACTCTTTTATGTTTGGTATTTTACTGAGGCCTTTTAATGGCCTCATCCAAATATCTGATATGTTAAATGGAAGAGGTTTAATTAATAAAACCATTAAAAACCATTTTAGGAAACTTAAGTTCCTCGTGCTATAAAGAGCACATTTGGGAGACTTAAGTTCCTCGTACTATTAAGAGTACGTTTATAATTTGCGTATTGCTTAAGAGTACGTTTATAATCTGCGTACTGCTTAATAGTACGCTTATACATAGAGTCTAATGTAGAGGCCCGGCTTATTACACTGTGTCACTTTCCTACTCCAGTCCTTGAATATACACAACTTTTCAATTTGTTGTGTATATTTAAGGACGAGGATAGTGTTCACTATCCCTCATCCTGTATTTCTTATTACTCCTACCCGTAACCACCCTTTTCATCCTGCATTTCATTTTTCAGCGCTATTTTAACCCAGGTTGCAGTTTTACATATGCATTCCCTTTCTGGAATCGTGCATCTACACAAGGAACGGTCTCTACATATTTACAAGTTTCTTTGTGCCCCCCGTACTCAAATCCGCGAACGAACAGAGTCAAGGCATAAGGGTTCTTGATCCATACCAAATTGTTCTAGATTGGTAGGATAGCTCTGATATAAATTTATCCATCTTGACGAGAAATCTCAACACTACGCCAGAATCTTCCAGTTTAGAACACATATACACTTATTAGATAGGAGAGCTTAATAATATAACTATGTGCTATGTACACGATCACTGACGCACGACGAAATGTAGATCACTAATTGGTTTATTTTATGTCCAGCGGGGATAGATGATCCAAAATATCGAAGGTCACAGATGTTTCACGATCAGTTCGTAACAAGATACATCTGGGTTGAGACGTGATTGTAATTTATATCAAAATTTTTCATATGTAGTATAGTAGTGGAATATATATATATAAGTGGGAACTGTAGGTTGCACTCATGTGGTGGCGGGTGTGGGGTTGAGATTCTTGACAGACTTGTCACTTGACTCTTGACTCCTGAGACGTGATTATAATACAGATTTATATTCATATGTGTAGTGTAGTGGGAAAAAACAAAACAAAACTACGTATGAGTAGGTGTGAAGTGTAGGTCGCACTAATAGTGGTGGCGCGTGTAGGCGGCTAGAATCGTAGGTGGCGTGTGTAGGTGGCTCTATTTATGGTGGTTCAAGATTTCTCTAGTTTGTCGTATTTTGTTTAAAAAAATAAAACACTCTACACCATTTTTTTAAAGTATTATTAAAACAGTCTAAATAGGACAATAGTAAGTATATATATTTAAAAAAAAATACACTCTATTTACAGACTACAGTCTTCAGTCTGCAGTCTGCACTCGACTTTGTCTAAACGACACCCGTCACTATAAAATTAATAAAATGTATATGAACCGAGTAAAATTATTTTGAATTTATGTTCTAAAAAAAGAAAATGCGGTTAATGAAATCACAGAACAGGACAAAAATTCCTTGGACTTGAAAATTACAACTGAACGGGTTTTAGGGTTTTAACTGGCGAAATTTTAGGGACCAGCACGTTGTTTTTATTACTGATCGATTTAAATGATAACAGAATCTAACATTTGCGTCTTTAAAACACAAACACGGTTGTATTTGTAAAAATATATCCGCTTTAACTTGCACGATGGGTGTCACCGGATTACTACCTGACGTGACTATTAACGGATTAAGTATAATACAGCAAAAAGCAAAGAGAAAGAGCATTGAAGTGCTCACTAGGTTCACAATAAATAAAAAGTGTCTAGTGGATGCTTCTGCACTAGTTCATCTTGCGATAGACCATTGCACACATCACAATTATATGAATGTATTGGAATTGGCAAGATGTATACATGTTCACAAAAATGGTGGTGCTACTGACGCTGTGGAGAAGCAAATAGAAAGTACCTTCCGCTTGTTTGGAGAGACTTGTAGAAGTCTCTCGTGAGAGCCGAATTTTGTCTTCAATGGCAATATTCCTCCTGCGAAGCAGAATGAGCATGCATAGCGTATGAAGGATGCTGCCTCTGCATTTATAAAGTGGCAAGCTCTCGACGAGAACGGAGAAGGCGCGAGCAAGGTCGGTGTGAAGTATTTAGCAGCGGCAGCCACGAGTACGTGGGATCACACGCGTACAGAAAATGACTGTTGGTTGACTATGAGCTGCCCTTACGTTGTTACTTCATATGAGGCAGATTCACAGCTGGCTTACTTATGCAGGAAACAGCCGAGCTGCTCCATTGTTGCGATGAGCGATAACGATCTCTTACTTTATGAAGGGGTAAGTGTTTGCTTTGATTTCACGAAAGAAGCGGCTAGAAAAACACCAACAACATTTGCAGTGGGAATAGTTGCACAACAACATGTGCACGCATATTTTAGTGACGTGGGTTTAAATTATGCATCTTTTATGGCTTGATGCATTGTAAGAGGCTGTGACTACACCAGACATTTACACGTAAAAGGTGCACCACTTAGTGGATTTTGCATTCAAGCGTTTACTGATGCAATTACAGACGACGATCATCATGGGCCTCTAGCACTTTACACTTCCGTACAACGATTGATAGAACATGGATTAACCATGGTCAAGAACCCACTCGTGTATAACAAATGCAAGTCTGCATTTACATCGGCTGTACTTGCATACTTTCACAGTTGGGTATTTGATAGTGAAGAAACGAAATGCATTGCTCTAACAGGTGATAATAGCGTAGCCGAAGACAATGTCGAATATCTGGGTAAGAGAATAGATAAAACGATAGTTGTGACTGCATATGCTCGCGGTGAATACAATCCTTTCGTGGGTGAAAGCTGTGCAATAGAAGCAAAGGGTGTATGACCACGACCTGCTATATTTCAGCATATATAGACAGTAATCAGTCGAAAAGAATGGAGCAAGCTACCACATATTTCTCCTGATAGTATGCTCGAATTTTTGGTCGAGCTGCGTATTTGAAGGGAAGAAATCGTAACGCATCACACATATCAACAGCAAACACACAAAACGAGCCTTCTGTCGTAGCTGTAGCACTTTGGAACTCTACATACAAATGTATGACTATTTCAGTGTGTGCAAATTTTGATGATGAGCACTCAGAGGTGTTTATACATGCACGTGTACCGAGATCACAACGTCCTTCTACAAAAGAAGCTTTTGCCAGGCTAGGGTTTAAGAAAACTGAATGATTATGACATAATTGCTGGCCTTTGTGAATGTCCACTCGGTCTAGGCGAAAAGTGTATGCGTGTCGCGTCATTAGTGTGGTGTTCTGTACAGCAATCAGCTCTCGGTAAAACAGACAAGAAAACAGTAGGCGAGCAAAGTCGAGAAAGCTCTACACTGCGTACAAGGGTATGTAAACTTCGATGGATATTTCTATGTTTCAAACTATGTTATATAAACTAAGATACAATTTAAGTCAGTTTGGGTTCTTACACAAGCTACCACTGCTAAATCCTAACTGACTTAAATAGTATCTTAGTTTATATAACATAGTTTGAAACATAGAAATATCCATCGAAGTTTACACGTATCATGTGAATGGATACAGCCACATTTTCCAACTGGAATTCTAAAAATTGATGTCAAAAAGACCCATACATTTAACAATCATCGAGGATCCTAAAACAATTGGTGAACAACAGGACAAAATTGTAGGCGGTACTAAAAGCACTCAACGAAATAGGGTACCGCTGCATAATAGAACGAACAACACTAACATCATTCTGGCTGAGTTGTACAGGAACGAAGATCCTACAGAGCCTAAAAAGGGGGTATTAGCACAAGATGATAACTTAGACGCAAATCTCAGCGAGAAGGAGAACATATCGCCCGTGCCAAAACGAAAACAGCGGTCAGGGTTGCGTATGTATGTATCAGATCGACCAGTCATGCAAGAGTTGAATAAAATAATGAGTGAGAAATCGGAGTGGCATGGCGATAAGCTCTCATTATGGGCAGAGAGGAAGATATAACACTTAGCTTTGTATGACGATATAATGGAGGGATATGGGATACGTTTCTCGGGCAGTTCAGACAACGATATATGATTAGAGTTTTAAAGCATTAATAAACATCGCATTTATTTCAATAAAAAAACTAACTAATGTACATTGATAGAGATGATATCTGTCAGGGAAAAGCAGACTTCGGCTGCTTTGGTAAAAAAGTGATCTACGAGACGAATTTCTTGAGCCAACATTCTAAACAATTTGGCACGTGCGTTCACACGTTCAATGTATATTTTGCTAGAGGCTATCTTCTTTGTTTTTTCATTATCATCGATTAAAAACTGCGTGTCTTTCTTAAGCATTGGTGGCATGTTATATCTGCAGTTGTGCGGTAACAGATCTCTGATATGGAAACTCTTGTCTCCCATTGCCGACAACCCGGGTCACATCTTGCATACAGGTCACTAATTCTTCCAGGGTAAAGGGGCAAAACATATACGCCGTGACCCGCTGCCGACATACCCACAAGGACTTTGTCCGTATTGTGGTGCTTGTACTGTCTCCAGGTTGACCGCTGGAAGTCGAGTTTGGCCGGTGTTTTTATGAAGAAGTCTAAAAAAAAGTAGAACAAAAGATGTATTTTTAAATAAACGATATTTAAGTAATTATATATAGCCATATAAAACACACACACACACACACACACACACACACACACACGCACACACACACACACACACACACGACACACACACACACACACACACACAGACTTACCCGTGCAATCGACGATAAGTGACACCTCAGGATACGTTTCCGCAAAGCAGGTGAGTTTTAGTGTATCCACAATTTCTTTGGCGAATAGATTGATTGGATCATTGGAAGGGTGTCGGAAGGATGCGTATAGAAATTTGTTGACATCATTAATTATATTTGACACTGTTTGACTACAAGCCAAACAGATGCATCACAATCGCTTCATCTAAACCATGTCTCACACGAGTAAATCAAAGAAGTACTGCGTCCTTAAAATCCATACTCTGACGTCCGGGCTTATATCTCCCTCCTCACTCTTCCAGCCTTCTTAAGAAAATGCTAAACTTCCCGAAGGACTGGAAAGCGGACAAGAACCGAGTTCGCTCTTCCTCATGGCATATATAATTGTACGACAACTTGAATACGCGAGTATCCTTCATCATTCATGCGAAGTCGTGGTTCTTATGCTGCAGTTTTTCGATTTCATCTTTTTGCAGCGATAGCTCAAAAGATTCATTCATCTGTCTTTGCGTTTCTAGCATAGACGTCTGTTCTTTTTCTCTCTGTGCATCTTGAAGTTTCTGGTTTATTTTTTCTAACTTCAGTTTTGCATCAGCTAGGCTATGTATTACTTTCTGTGTCGCTGCCACTTGCGTATTCAGTTGTACTTTCAGTTCTTTGTTTTCCTTTTGTAATGCGGCGATCTCGGTATTAGGGTTGGTCTTCTTGTGACACCGTTCTGAGTGATAGTTAACTTGCGGCTGCTCTCGCAGTGCATGACGCTTGCTTCCCCTCACCAAGGAGAAACCAATACTCTCTTGGAGTTCAGTGGCTATATCAGCTTGTAGAATCAATGTTTGAATTTGCAATGCATACTGTTCCTTCTCAGATGCCTCCTTATCTACAGCTTCCTTTCTTTTGTACTGCCCTTCTGTCATTGCAGCATCTGGCTTGAGGTTGATGTACTTATTAACTGAAAATATACTTCAGATCTATATGCTTGCGACAACACTTGTGACCCTTGTTTATTTCAGTCACTACCCTCTCTCCAAGTTGTGGATCGTCTTTATCGAGTCTACCCAACATAATCATCCACTGCTCAAACACTTTAAATGTCCACTGTTGGAATGCGAACAGCGGGATTGTATCTATCTATGATATTATTGTAGTATTCCGCTACAGACCCGCCCATACTGACGAAATATGCCTTTCAATTGTACACCGGCACTACAATTAGCTAAAATAATATAATATGTCTATGGCACTTCGACTGCCTACCACAAAGCTACATAGCAGACGCTATGAGGGGCTGGGCTGCACACGTCCACATATGCACATTTATGCAAGGATTGTAAGATTTGAACAGATAACAAACAAAAAACAAAACGTGCTTGTCCCCAATTTCGGAGTAAAGTAGCTAAAAGAAAGTATTTTTTATAGGTCTATTGTGCAATCCAAACGATCAAGCCATCTTTTTCTCTCTCTTGTAAATAGTAAGGCTATGAAGCGATTTTTATTTTTAATAATATTCAGAAGTATGGATCACAGCCCTAAATTGAACAAGGCTATGTATGGATCCACGAATTCACAGGTTTTTTATGGAACATTGGCTCCCTCTCTTAGTCTGAAGCGTTGTATTCTATTTCAGGTGATAGGTGTAGATTATGTACCGAAAACTGATACTTGACTGTTGTATCGGTATTCTTTTTTTTTGCGAAGTGTACACGCTTAATAGTTCGGTACTTGGACCAAAGTTGCCTTACGTGGGCCCATAAATATCGAACCTACCTTTGCGAAGGGGCCGGATGCGGTTTTGGACACGGGCTTGGGCGTTTTAACAAAAAAATATACAAAAATAAACTAAATAAATAAATAAAAGTTACAACTTTTAACTTTACGCAAGGTTAGGTGGAGTGTGGAGAGTTGGAGACTGCTGGAGAGTGGAGACTGGAGAGTTGGAGACTGAGACTGCTGCCTGCTGGAGGTGGTCTGGTGGGGAGAACAGAACTGGCGTCTGGTCACTGGTGGCGAGTGGCAAGTTAGGCAACAGGCGAGTGGCGAGTGGCGACTGACGAGTGGTGACTGGCGAGTGCCGACGTTGGCGAGTGAGGTGAGAGGACTGAGGAGACTGATGGCAGTGATGAGTGGCGGGGAGTAGTGTTGTGGACATTTGATTTTTGATTTTTGTATTCTCATTCATCTGATACTATTTTACTATTTTATTTTATCTTTTAGTTTTTTTCTTATCATAAATAATCAGTTTCTCTATCAGAACAAGAAGTGAAAACACGCCATTTTATTCTTTACTCTATAGAGTCAAAAGTCCTGCGTCCTTGACAGTGTTATAGTCTCGTGCGATAAAAAATAAATAAATTTGTACTGGTTATTATACTGTTTGTCGTCTCATTTGCTGGGTTGATAAACGACGCCGACATTTCGCCAAAAGAGTGAAACGACATGTCAATGATGTCCCACTGTCCTACAACATTTCGAAACAACATTTTTGTAGGACGCGACATGATGTCGTCCGCGGTCCCGCTCTCTCTCTCATCCCTAACATAGCCCTCTAAATTGAACATCACTGAGTACAGTAAATAAATATTTATAAAATAAAAAAATATCTCAAGCATGTACAAATGTACAGTTTTGTTATGTTTTTAAAATTATTGAAAGATTGTACGCTTGTGTTTTGGCCCTACATACAGTATAAATAATTTATATTTTTCCTAGTAATCAGGTACAATTTTACTTTTTGGACAAGAATTCTTAAAAACAAAAACTCTTGAAATAGGATACGATTACCCGATGAGAATCGAGAAACATTTTTTTTCAGGAAGGTGACGACTCGTTACTATTTGTCCGCGCCAGGGATTTTGTACCAGAGTTTGGTCAAATTGCTTTTAATGACAATTCGAAAATTTTCAGTACAAATTGATGTAATAACTGATGACTCGTCTTTATTGGGCCTGGGACTGGTGTTTTTTATATAGATTGACTTTATTTACTTCAACCAATCAATCATGTTTAAAAATATTGTGAATTTGTACATATGTAGCTCGATTCACATTATATATATTTTTAAAATAGGGAGTGTGCAGACTGCAGGACTTTGTCTATACGACACCCGTCACTATTTTTTTTAATAGGACACCTTTCACACCTATATATGCTCTTCACAAATTCAGTGGGTGCAATCTTCAGGTCAGTGAGAATAAATTCAGTGGGTGCAATCTTCAGGTCAGTGAGAATATATATTTTACCCTGTTTTTTTGGCGCAAAGCTGCCAATTGCCAACTGTCAAGTGTCAGGTTGAGCGATATACAATTTCTAGTTGGCTACTATGCTTTTCTTGGTCCAAGTTTTAGTTTTAGGACAACTTTTCAAGTGCAAACTTGAAAATTATGTATAAATTATTTTGTTCCAAATATAAGTTACAACTCTTTTAAATATTTTGCCCCAAATAGAAGTTTAAATTTAAAAAAAAAATAAAAGCTGTTTATATTTTACAAATATATTTCAAAAAGCAACAGTCAAAGGTTGTGCGCTTATACAGTGGCGGACTGACGTCTGACGGTGAGTGACCCCATAACTATGAGGTTTCGGCTCTCCAGGCTCCACTCTTGTGGTCGCCAGTTCTCCACCCGCGGCCATTAGTCCGCCGTAGTGGCCTACTGGGCCACCGGCCACCGTCCACCGACTCACCGAGTTGTATTTATATCTATTGTCCTAATTTGTTTTAAAACAAAAGCAACAACTTTTGTGTCTTTTTCAGTCCGACATTTTACTTGACTCGGTATTGAGAGTATTTACTACTCGATAAACTAGTAACGCGTGGTTCTCATTACTATGGAGTAAAATTTTAACCTTTAAAAAAATAGCATCTATGTATTCCATATTCTACGATAATGTGAATAGTGCAGAATCCCGGATGACAGTGCTTAGAGTCGAATACGTAAAGGACACACACTCTCTCTCTTGTAAATAAAGCTATATGTCGACCACAGTAGTCAGTAACTCAGTACTCTCGGTAGTGAGTTCTGAGTAGGCTATTTAGAATACATTTCGATTTTGGGGTTTTTAAAATTGTTTTTGTTTAAAAAAAGTGTCAGGTTATGGGTTTAGTTTTTTTGTATAACTTAAAAAAAATGAACAAATACATAGCCTCCTAAATACAACAAAATATTCTATAAAAAAACCATATATCTTTTCGGTACATTTATAATTTTAAAAATATATATTGTACGAATACTACAATTCACATTCTATGTGAACAATATATGAGATTACACCACTACAAGCCCTGCGTATTCAGATGCGTGGCTGATATACTACAATTCACATTCTATGTGAACAATATATGAGATTACACCACTACGAGCCCTGCGTATTCAGATGCGTGGCTGATGTAGGGGTTGTATCACCGTTGTGTCTAGATTTGATTTGCGCCAAGGACATCTCAAGGCCGCTGGAGATGGCTGTGTTAGAATGTACTGTATGGTAATACGCTACTCACATTTTAGGATCATATTTACTGGTAATATATAATCATGAGTGTACACGATGCGCAATCTCACATGCGCCCTATCTCGCCAAGGAATCCTGAAGCGTCTCCGGCAGATAACGAGGGCATGTCTATGAACTGGACAGAAGATGCGTCTCGGGACAGTTTAGCAGGTTTAGGGCTTAATATGACGCATAGGGGCACTGACCTAGAGCTTCCTTCGCTGAATTCGTATGTATCCAGCACAAATGGGCGAGGGAGTGGCTTGTTTGGGCCGGAATTAACACAACAGGCCAACGATTTTAAGCTTAGTAAGGGACTTCACAGTGGCAGTCATGATAGTTTAGGCTCTTACAATGGTATTTGGGGCGAAAAGAGTAATCAGCCGATGATGAGGACCAACAGCAGTTCAGCTATGCTCGGTTCTCTCAGAGTTCAAAGTAACGACATTATTATGGGTGGCGTAGGTGCAGGCATGGATTTAGACTTGGGCATGAGAATGGGTGTAGGCATGGGCATGGGTATGGGCATGGGTATGGGCATGGGTATGAATATTAGTGATCTGGGTCTGGGCCTGGGCTCAGGCACAGATTTAAACTCGAATCTGAACTCGGACATGGACACAGGCATGGGCACGAAAACAAACTCCTGCGATGATATAAGTAGACAATCACGAAGTGCTAGTATTGGCCTTAGCCCTTACTCACCAGACGCCATGAGAATGGCGAATTTGAGCCTTGGCCTTGATTCACTGGGCATGAATGTAGATATGTGCGACTCTTTGCTGGGCGGAGAGTTGGGGGCGATGCTGACCGAGAATACTGAGGTATGGGAATGTACCTATTCACCTTGAACCGCAATCCACACACAACTAACCACCCTCTCACTCACTCTCTCTCACTCACAAATACAACACGACACACACACACACACACACACACACACACACACACACACACACGCACATATATATATATATATATAAATATACATACATACATACTTATATATATATATATATATATATGTGTGTGTCGTTGTGTTTGGGTGTGCGTGTGTTTTGTATATATAACCATATAAGCATGTATGCATGTATGCAT